GCTCTTTCACATCAATGTTTCTCTCTCTCTCCTCTCGACCCTTCCCCCACCCTCCCACTCTCTCTAAAATCAGTGGGGGGAAATCCTGCAGTGAGGATTAACAACAACAACAAAAAAAGTTAATCATTTCCCCACTAACACTCCATTTCATTGCCCCGAGGTAACCAATGTCAACCACTTGCTATGCATTCCTGCCCACCTGGTAAAGAACATCCTAGACTCCGCGCTTCTCAGAGAGCCAGAGAAAGTCCTGGGCAACATAAACATTCAAAGGAGATGAGCCTGAAAACAATAAGAAGAAGGGACAGCCACCCTGGCCGGTGTGGCTCAGTTGGTTGGAGCGTCTTCCCGCACACGGAAAAGCTGCACGTTCAATTCCCAGTCACAGCGCATACCTCGGTTGCGGGTTCAATCCCCAAGAAGGCAGCCATGCGAGGTTTCTCCCATCCCCCCTCTCTAAAAATCAATAAGCATGCTCTTGGGTGAGGACTGAAAAAAAAAAACAGGGGCAGCCAATGGTCTGCACTCAGGCCTGAGAAATCTCTTCAGGGTGATGTAAATGGTCTAAAATTAGATTGTGGTAACCGTTTCACAACTCCTTAAATTTACTAAAAGTCATCAAATTGTGCACATAAAATGAGCGAATGTGAATTATACCTCAATAGAGCCATTTAAAAATGTTTTTTCACTCGAGGCCCGATGCATGAAATTCTTGCAAGGGTCTTGGCCCTTGCAGCCACGGCAGCTTGCCTGAGCCCTCACAGCCCTGGCTTCGTCCGGAAGGTCGTCCAGAAGGACGTCCGGAAGATTGTTTGGCTGTCCGGTCTAAGTAGCATATTGCGCTTTTATTTTTATAGATTGATTTCAGAGAGGAAGGGAGAGGGAGAGAGAGATAGAAACATCAGTGAAGAGAGAGAATTGATAGGCTGCCTCCTGCACGCCCCCTACTGGGGATCGAGCCCACAAACCAGGCATGTGCCTGAACAGGGAATTGAACCATGACCTCCTGGTTCATAGGTCAACACTCAACCACTGAGCCACACCGGCCGGGTCAATAAAACCTTAAAAAAAAAAAAAAGCAGCCAGGGCGCTAAGGACAGCCAGGTGCTGGGCCGAGCATGGCTGGGAGAGGCAGACGCTGCTCTGTGAAGCCACCTGGCCCCTTGGGGATGTCCACTCCTAATCCCTGGAACCTGTCACTATGTCACCTTACCCAGACGATGCAGTGAAGTTTACAGACCCTAAACTAGGAGATCATCCGTCTTCTTCACGGAGCCCAACTCAGTCACATGAGCCTTTAAGAGCAGAGAACTTCTCAGGCTGGACGCAAGGGAGGCGGGCAGAGGGGGAGGCCAGAGACCTGAGTCCCTGCTGGCTCTGGATGCGGGGGCCGTGGTCCGGCACCGTGTGAGGCCTCCGGAGCCCAGGGTGGCCCCAGTGGACAGCAGTGAGGACATGGGACTCAGTCCTACCCACAACCACAAGGAACTGGTTCCTGCCAACAACCCGAGCAGTGGATTCTTCGGTCTCCCGTTAGCATCCAGGGGCGGCCACCCTGATGCCCGGGAATCAGAGCAGGGGACCAAGTGAGCCAGCCTGGACTCTGGGCTGGAGCTGTGTGGTCTCAAGTCTCCAAGTCTGTAGCACCTTGTAGGGGCAGCAATAGAAAACGAATATACCTAACCCTGGATCTGATGCCAGGCCCCCACTGCAAACCGTTCAATGACTTTTTATTGCCTAAAACCAGATAGAGTTTAAACTCCTTTTTTTTTTTTAAATTGTTCAGTGTTTTTATTTTTCTGATAATTTAAAAAATGTGAACATTCTGTAATTCAGCCACAGCCTTTACTTCCAGGTGACTTCTTCATTGGGTCTCAATTCTCTTTTAAATAACAAACTCTTGTTCCGGAAGGCAGTTAGCTTTTCATCACTCTTTCTGTCTAGATAACATCCAATGACAAATCCCATAGGGACAAGTATATGTACCCAGTGGTCACGCACAAGCTGAATTAAACTCATCCTGAATGCTGCGGCCTCGGTGCCAGCCCGACCCCAAGACCAAGGCGAGTTTAAACTCCTTAATGTAGCACGTATGGCCCTCCTGACCCGACCCTGACTCACTCGTTAGCCGGAGGGCTACGTGCCCGTCCGCACACCGGCCACCTCTCGCCCCTTCCTCTCCCCAGTGTGCCTTTCTCGTTCTTTTGAACTAAGGTCAGGCATCACCTGTTCCAGGAAGACTCTCCTGTCTCTGTTCCATGGCACCCTCTGGCTAATTCCGTCGTTACAATACAGCAGCATAATTACCAGAATATAGTGTATCATTACAATTACAGAGCATTGCAATGAAGCGTTTATGTGCGCCTACTCCCTTCTAAGGCCGCAACTGCCTTGAGGGCAGGAGCAAGTCTTATTCATCTTTGCTTCCCCAGCGGATGCTCAATGAATAGTATTTACACATCCCATTTGGAAGAAAAAGTTTTGGTAATGAATGAAGAACCTCATTAAGCTAAAGATTAGATTCTGAAGGGTGGTTCACATGTCTGCTCATTTGTAAGAAAGTAAGCGGGGGCCCTGGCCGGTTTGGCTCAGTGGATAGAGTGTCGGCCTGTGGACTGAAGGGTCTCGGGTTCAATTCCAGCCAGGGGCATGTACCTTGGTTGTGGGCACATCCCCAGTAGGGGGTATGCAGGAGGAGGCTGATGGATGTTTCTCTCTCATCGATGTTTCTGACTCTCTATCCCTCTCCCTTCCTCTCTGTAAAAAAATCAATAAAATATATTTAAAAAAAAAGAAAGTAAGCGGGGGTGGGGGATGGGGGGGAGGGTTAGGCTTGCCACAGGACTGTGCATTAGTCCTCAAGCCCTAAATCAAGTGCCTGTTAACCTCCTTGCAAATACTGTTTTTATTATAACTCTGCTGCTGACACCCCCTTCCTCCATTGCTCAGTGTCAGTGAGAGCTGCTAGCAAACAACCAGGCCCACACGTGCCTCCTGGTTACCCACTTGGGTGTGGTCCGTGTCAGCAAGGCCTGGAGTGTGATCCTACCAGAGGCAGGGACTGCAGCTTCACACAGTACCTCACCAAGCTCACTCAGCCTGTCAGTTTTCCTAACCAATATCAAGTGAATAGGCATGGGAAGCATTTGCCAATCTGTTTTCCTCTTCTCTTGATGATTAATGTCAATGACACTTTTTTGCAGGTTGCATAATTATCTCTCTGTTCTTCTGAATGGTTTCTATTGGGGGAAAATGCATCTCATATTCACATGACCACTCACCATTTCCTTATGACTTACAATTATTTATTGTTAATATCACACTTTCTAAGTAGTATTCTTTTTTTTTTTTTTAATCCTCACCCGAGGATATTTTTCCATTGATTTTTAGAGAGAGTGGAAGAGGGGGAAAGACAGAGAGAAACATCGATGTGAGAGAAATCATCAGTTGGTTGCCTTCTGCACGCACCCTGACCAGGCTTGGGCCAGGGGAGGAGCCTGCAACTGATGTACCTGCCCTTGACTGGAATCGAACCCGGGACCCTTCGGTCCACAGGCCGACAGTCTATCCACTGGGCCAAACCAGCCAGGGCTCTAACTAGTACTCTTAACACTGATAAGGGATGGCGGGTTAACAATGTCGTGAAACACCTTAAACCAAACCCAGGAAACACACAGAAGGTGAAGGGGGAATGCTAATGCTGAGCAATGCTAAAATGATCGCACGCAACCACTTCGTTCCATCACGCGGAGTTGGCGTTGGCAAAAGCTTTTTTTCCGGTACAGCTTGGTTTTCCCTATAAAGGTTTATAAATTGAACAAGTAGAGAAAATTGTGTTTTGACTTGAAATTGAAATTGTGTTGTAATATTGAATCGCACACATTTAGAGGCAAAAGTTCAAAATGTCCACCATTAACTTCCACAGATAGTTGAGAGTGAGGACCGGGGAACTGACAAGTATTTAGCTTTCTATTTTTGTTAATCCTCACCCGAGGATATTTTTTCCATTAATTTTTTTTTTTTGAGAGAATGGAAGGGAGGGGGAGAGATAGAAAGAGAGAAACATCGATGTGAGAGAGACACATATATTGGTTGCTTCATGCACATGAC